TAATTTTTTCAGAACCATCTCCAGCGGTGCCGTTCCGCTGGTCCAAGTCTCACATTTAAAAACTAGAAAGTGGATCCTGGAACCAGTCCAAACCAGAACAGGTCCGACTGTCCAGTGGAACCAGATCCATGACCAGCAGCAGCAGCTTCGTTCCAAAGGAAAACGTCCCCAGCAGGAAACGGTTGCTTTAGTTTGGACCCACTTTACTGGAGGCTTCCCGGTTTGGGTGGACTCACCACTCGCCTGCAGATCCTCCTCTGTCTCCTCACTTTGTCCTTGATGGTGCTCTGGTAGATGTAGTTGAGGTCTGAAACATCACAAAGCTTCAGTTAGCAGCTCTATGCTTCCTGTCAGCGTTTCAGTGATGGTTCTGTGGTACCTAGGAACGTGGGTCCGACCTTCAGCTTCACCACAGGTTGATTGACTGGAACAGACGCACACAGCAATGAGACGGAGGAATCATTCAGTACAGTGAAGCAGCAGCTGGAACTCACAGGCTCCTCTGAACCAGCTCCTGAAGTCCTGCAGGGGCGCCGCTCGCTTCCTCTTCCTCTTCCCTCCATCATCGAGGCCGTCGGGAACTTTGTAGTACTTTCCTGGAGAGGAGGCAGAACGCCTTCAGAGCTGCAGGCAAACAGGAAGTGACCTGCAGCAGCGACGCTCACCTGCTCTTAAGGGCTCGTCTGCTTTCAGGACAGAGTAGGGATCATGGAGACTCCAGGCGTCCTCCTGAAACAGAACAGGACTGGAACTCTCAATCTACTAGTGGTTCCTAGAATTTCTAAAAGTAGAAAGTACAAACTTTCCTTATATAGATGTTCGAGATCGGCCTGTTTTTCAGAGTAGTCGTTTCTCTGACTGTGTTTAAAGCCGGGTATACACTGTACGTGTTTTGTGAATGGCGCTATATGAATAAACTGAATAGAATTTCTACACCAACAGCTTACTCTGTTTGCAGTCTAGTGTGATTAAATGATATAATTTATATATGTTGTATAAGTATTTTTTTTTATACTTGGGTTTTGCTCCATTTGTTTGTAAATAAAGGGCTTTAAGAACGGAGCTGCAGTGGAACTAAAGCTCCAGTTAGTGGATGCGTTGCAAAGCACTGCCAGCAGATGGTGACAGCGTTCACCACTGATTCCTAACATGATGGTGGGTTTTTATAGGCAGAGTAGATAAGTGGACCCTTTGTTCAGGTCTTACAGCAGCTGGGATCATCTCCTCCGTCTGCTTCTCCACATTCCGTCTCTCCCGGATCATCCGGCCGTCACTAGGAGCCTGAAACAGAACCTGGTTAGTAAGCTGGGAAACCCGCAGCAGGTTAGACAGCAGGAGGATTTAGATGGGTCTAAGTACTGAGGTCTGTTGGCGCTCCACATGTTCCTCTGGTTCTTGTTCCATGTCCTCGACAGGAAGGAAGTTCTCCGCAGCGTCGGCTGCGCCGTCGTCGTCTTGATCGAAGGCGGCCGGAGCTTCAGCTGCAGGAGGGAGGAAGCATGGCGTCATTAAACTGGCAGCGGAGTCCTCCAACCACTAGGAGAAACCCAGACACAGCAGGGCGCAAAATACCAGAGGAAGGGTCCAGTTTAACCAGTTCTCACTGAGATCCAGACCGGTTACAGCTTCTGAATGGTTGTGTTCGAATTTAAGAGATGCATCCTCCCAAAGGCCAGATTCGAAGGCCAATTACATCATAGAGGTCTGGTCGGATTCCAAGACTCCTCGTTATGCGGCCTACAAATGCGTCCTTCTTGTTGCCTGATTTAAATGCTAGGTGTATCCTAGCTATCCTTGATTATCAGATTCTAATATATCTGCAGGGACTGATAGGATTTTTAGTTTTTAATTGCTATTTTGCACAATTTGCTTAACTAAATATATATATTTTTGTTTTGAATTTAAGACATTTTTTTGCATATATATTTTGAGTAGTGATGATTTAATCTTTGTATAGAGAAGACTAATTAGTTTGTCGTTTAGCTAGTGGGTTATTAAAGAAAATGGCGCTTATTTTCCAACAAATGCCCTGAACCACGAAGCAGGACTACTGGAATAGCAAAATAACTTCAGGTTTACAATAAAAAAAAGAAAAGAATAATGCAGGCCAGTTAGTTATAAGTTAGTCTGAACACCTACATTCGGCCAATCATATATCAACGATCATCTGTCAATCAAATGTTTTCTGTCATAGCATCTTGATTCATATGTCGCAGCTAATATACGCCAATTGAAATCAGAATCATTTCCTTTCCCATTGAGTTCCGTCCCAGTGTTCAC